AATCAGGGTTTTCCAACTCCCCTAGGTGAATCTGGAAGATCCATCAACCTGGTCAATATGTCAGACATTCGCTTTTCGTCTTCCGAATTTCGTAAACAACACCCACGCCACCAGAAGGCAGTGAGTAGGACTTCCCTGATCGTGGTTGTATGCACGTAGCCATCTGAGAGCATTTCGAGAGGAAGAGCGGACTTTTCCCATTCTCTGCCATACCATGACATTTGGTAGTGGTTTGGATTTATAAGTTTTAGTGTATATTTTGGTTTATGGATAACAGTAGAATTCGGACTTATGTTTCATGCTACTCAGAACTCATAATCATTTCGAGACTAAGACTCAAATTTTATCTGGAATTTATCTCAACCTCAATTTTCAAAGTATACTAAGATGTGTATACCGCGAACTAATTGTTTCTCGTTGTATCATATTCTCTCACAATTGATTGATCACTGGGTGGTGATCAATGTCATGCTTGTCTAGTCCTTATTAGTGCAGATCGAATGCTATCGATCATGTTGCAATGTGGCCACCAGTCTAGGTGACTCGACACTGCGTGCACTATGTATTGAGATTTAGATGGTGGTTGGAGGTAGTCAACAGGAAACCCTGGACCCGGGTTTCGTGCTACTTGGCACTCGTCAGCAAGGTGTACCTGTAATGTTGAGGGAACTGGTGCTCCCTGGCGGATTCGATCTCGTGTCTTCCAGTGTCGAGTCACGTAGACTGGTGGCCACATTGCAACATGATCGATAGCATTCGATCTGCACTAATAAGGACTAGACAAGCATGACATTGATCACCACCCAGTGATCAGTCAATTGTGATTACATCTCAGTCCTGCAGGAGGTTAGTCACGGCTCGGATAGCTCAGTGGTAACGTCTCTGACTGTGAAGCCGGGTGACACGAGATCGAGTCCGCCAGGGAGCACCAGTTCCCTCAAGATTACAGGTACACCTTGCTGACGAGTGCCAAGTAGCACGAGACCCGGGTCCAGGGTTTTCTGTTGACTACCTCCAACGACCATCTAAATATCATATTCTCTATAATTAATCGTTTTTATTACTATCATTAATGCTACTACTAATTTGGCATGTATCTCATCGTACTGTCATAGTGTGATGGCAACATTGAACCGATACATCTAGTGTTAGGCTATTCACATTGTATTTAACATTGACGGAAAACAATGGTCTACTCAAGTTGTAATAGTATTTATTTATCTACAAGTTTAATTTGATTTGATTATATCATATTCTTGTCTTATTTTAGAATAGATCAGATTATACTAAACTTATACAAACTATAAACAAATCAACACAAATACTTATACCAATTTTATCACCATTGTATTATCCACATTTTTGGATTCATGCATGGTATCGTTGGAATCGTTCAATACGTTTAACTAATGGTGGAGGTTATGCATTCAATGCTGCTTATTATAGAAATTTATTAGGATCAACATTATTAAATAATGATCAAAATTCATTTCAGTTACCACGTACAAATACTACACCTTATACTGGTTGGTTAACAGATGAATCAATTAGAAATGCATTAAATCATATTGGTTATTCAATATCATTTGATTATTTTTATAAAAATTTATATGAAATAGCAAATTTATGGGATAATAATGAAGATTTTAACACATCTTAATGGATATGATTTAAAAAATAATAAAAATGATATACATACCTTTTTTTTCTTTTTTTCCCTTTCTTTATCTAAATGATCTATCACCTATATATATATATATATATATATATATATATATATATATATATGAATAATCTCATTTCTTTTGTTATAAGTGTGTTTTTATTTTATTTTCTTTTTTTTCTTTTTTCTTTCTTTCTTTATTTATTTATTCTCAGATGATCAATGGAGAAACTGTTTACTTTATTTTTCTTTTTTTGTTTAAAAGAAGAAAAAAAGAACCGCCAAGTAATCTCACAAATTTTTTTCTTTTTTCTTTCTTTATTTATTTATTTATTCTCAGATGATCAATGGAGAAGCTGTTTACTTTCATTTTACTTTACTTTTCTTTTCTTTTTTTGTTTAAAAGAAGAAAAAAATAACCGCCAAGTAATCTCATAAATTTTTTCTTTTTTTTAAAAAAAAAATATATATTTTCTTTGTGTACGTATTCAAGTCAATGGAAGGAATCCGATATTGATCTGAATTTAAATACAATAACCCCCTTTTTTTTTCTTTCTCTCCTTATTTCAGGTTTTTTTTGTACTTTTTATAAATTAAAAAAAAATAATAATTTTTTTTAAAATAATTTTTTATTACTTAATTTACTAGTGATTTATTTGTTTATTTACTTGTTTTGTAAATCTCATTTAATTTAATTGTAATAAGATCTAATGAAATTTGTTTACAGATAAACATGATTTGTAATAATTCTTAGAAAATTTATTCATATAATAATAGTCTTAAAGCTTAAATGAGAAGATACAAACTGAACAATACCAAGTGAATTGAAATTCAATCCATTGTACATGCAAGTGGTTATCAGGACTCCAGTAACTGAGTGGATAACGCGATAACGTTTGAAGCGAATGGTACTGGGTTCAAGTCGCAGAGTGAACATCAACTCTCTGAGATTCAGGTACATCCAACTGACGAGTGCCAAATAGGAGGAAACGCGCGTCAAACTGGATTCCACTGCTAGTCACTATCCATCATTGCTTACAAGTAGCTTGTGAATTAAGGTAATATCGAGGCAATCCGCACAGGATGCACATATGCTAATAACAGACTGATCAATTACAGTCTTAAACCTCAATGGGAAGATACAAGCCAAACAATACCAAATGAATAATAATAGTGAGTCGTTAAAATTCCCAAATGAAATAGATTTCAGTTAAGGGCTTGAGTTTGATAACATTTGCACTTCAGAATATTACTATATAATTTTGGAATGAGTTTAGAAAACTCAGTCGGCTTTTGCCAACTTGTGAAGTAGACGATGTATCCATCTGTCAATAAAAAAATGAGTTTACTACATATCAGTTCTCTCTGTTCTACTTTATGGATGTGAAACATGTGTGTTAGAGATAGAGGATATCCCTGGGTCACTAGTATTTGATTACATGTCTATAAAGCATTTCTCGTGTATTCAGGGATCGCTAAGTGAGGAATTCTGAGTTCAGCCACATGATACTGGGTATCGAAGCAAACCGACCGGTGAGTCTCTATCATCTGAAGTGGTTGGCATGTGTTATATGTGCTTAATCACCAAGTACCTGGACGGTCTATGCTATCGGATGTAGGTTGAGACAAAGTCAGAAGTAGCCAAACCAAAATGTGGTTTGCTGTTATGTGCTATGCCCTTGGATATAGGCTACTTGGTTTCGGTCCACCCGTCTGCCGTAACCAGTTGTTAGGTACTTTGATTGACACAGCCTACGATCGTTTACACTGGCAGAAGTGCATCCTCTATGTCTTCAGTCCTGTATTTTCTTTATGCCTTTTTCTTTGCCTAGTGTTTCCTACTTCTACTGCTGTGATTTGTTTTGAACGTCTTATCACATTGTACTAAAGTGGTATGGCAACTTGGACTGATGCATATAGCGCCAGATCCTGCGTTGCATGCAACTTGTTCTCCAGTTCTAAGTCACAGATTTGCCTGCCAATAATTGTTGCAAGATGACATCAGTATTAATTGGCATCCTAAGGAAATTACACGCAAATTACTTTGACAGGCTAAAATTTATGCATTGATAGGTGCCATGTCCGACTCAGTCCCTGATAATTAGGAACTGCAGCCCACAACGAAACCTTCCGCTCATTATTAGGAGCTTCCCAGCGAGCAGAAACCATCCCTGACGACGATACCTTACATCGTGTTAATAAGTTTAACAAATTAATGGTTCACTGCAATCTTGACAGCCACCCATCGCCCAAACTCTTAAGGCAACTAAATATGCCCCGCTTTCCAGTTGGGAGAATAAGCGCAGGTAGGAGTCTCAGGGACAACTCCAACCCCTCTCATATTATAGGATTCACCTGACAGATACGCTTCATATTCACCCAATAGACACGCGAAATAGAAACCCCTGCACGGACCCAACCAAGTAAATCCGCTCGAGATGGATTTAGAGATTGTAAGACGAATAAGCGGTATTACTCTGAACTTTTAACGAAAACCTGTCACCCATGATTCTTTATAGAAAAGACAATAGCAGCACATCAGAAAGTGAAGGACCAATGACTAAAATGTTACACGTATAGAATAATTAAGGCGAACGCTCAAGCCTTGTCACCTCTAAATATTTGAGGGAAATGAGTGCGACCTACTTACCAAGTGTGGGTGACTCATACCAGTACTGAAGCCGCCCGAACTAGTTTCTGGACGACAATGTGACTGTCGAATGATAGTCAGGTCGAATTAGCGCAACTCATATCCACTTCACCATGTAGTGACGAATCCTTCAGCGTTGGCACGATCACTATCTATGCACTGCATGATGTTGCAGGTATGTCCTCTCAGCCAGGAGAAACGAGTACGCCACACCAGGTATCACTAGCAATCAGCGCGCGAAAAGACCATGTGAAACCAAACTGCCAAACGCTACGCTGGCAGCAGACGCCGTCGCCGATACCTAAGCATTATCACATCCACGTACATGTCTACTAGGAATTATAAACCAACTGGGAACTGACGAGCCACTACACACCACGTAGCGGAGTATCTAGCGGGACAATTCAGTAGTTTATAATGACCTCATTTAGCCTGCTTTATTGTTTGAAGCCTGAACCTTTGATGAACCCACTAAGGCGTAAGATTGTTTACTTGCCTCAAAAAAGACTGTCTTCCTACAAGTAGACTAAGTATCTAACTTATCTTCTGAATTTCAAGACAAATTAACAGACGCTATCCAAAAAACTAAAGGACGTAATGAGTATTAATTATATTTTGGATAGAAAACGGTATGATGCAACCTGGACGTTTTTGAAATGCATTGTAAACCTGCGAACCTCATTTACATTAACGACTGCGACTTCGGGAGAAACTTCTATGGTTTGACACAGATCTGAAAGAAAAGAACATCAAAAATGATGGCTAGGACAAAAAAACAGTGGTAACCGTTACATATTGATAATCTATGAAACTAGGCACTTACACGTTTAGGCATGAAGGAAAACAAGCTGTAGGTCTCTACGGACGTTAACTATAGAGGCTGTCTGTAGTCACGACGACGATGTCGACGGCTCACAGATGCCGAGATGTAAGGCAGTTTATGCCCGCCGCAATGAAGTCAAAGATGCCAATTTTTGAATGAAGTGCCTATGTAGACCAGTCTTTTCATAGTACATTCCGCGTGCTAGTGACGAGTCACCGCTACGGAATTTAGAGCACCAGCATTTGACTGAGCTGTTACACTGCGAGATAGGATGTCGATATAGTCTAAGGATGCCGTACTTGGATGATAAAACTGATACAGTTGATAACGTATCATGGTAGCCGAGACGATACCAGACGACATGCGAGTAAGATGAATTACCTCGACCTTCTTCGGCCTTCAGGCCTGCTGCGTCCATTTGGACCACCCGGCCCACCACTCCGACGACGACAATCGTAGGCATAATGTCCGCGTTCTCCACACTCGTAACACCGATCTGTTGGGTCAAACGGTTTCATACGGCGAGAACCAACTCCATTGTCACGTCCTCCACCATTACGAGCACCACCACCTCCACGTACCCACGGCTTCTGTCGCGACTTTCCAGTGCTCAGTTCAACACGGGCGCGGACACCACACATGACTCTAAACATATTAAATGTAACGACAAATGTCTACTTACGTTCCGTCGAGTTCACGCACCGCATCACTGGCATCTGCAGCATCTTCGAATTCAACAAAAGCAAAACCAGGTGGGTTTCTCGCAACCCATACGTTACGCAACCTTCCGTACTCCCGGAATATGCGTTCTAGTTCTCGTTCAGATGCCTCTCTAGGGAGGTCACCAATGTATACTTTCGTACCAACATCTCGGTACCTTGCAGCCATTTTTTAGGGATAACTTCGCAAACGACCACGACTTCAAACAAAGTGCTCAATTCTCAATTATGGAAGCTATCGTATATCATATTAAACAAATAAGACAAGAATCACATTTTTCTATTTAACTTTATCGCTATCACAAACATTTTGGAATTATCTATGAATACGAATGGTCAGGACATACTCGGGCACATGATCGGACTATAATTGGTTCTTCAATGTGTCTCTGATACATAACTTACAATGACTTTCTTCCATGTTTTATCTTGTCTGTTTCTTGGTTTCTTACTAGAAAACTACCTTCCTCAGTGATTGGTCATACATCTAGGAACAACACGAGGTTCTCTTTTTCAAACTATTTTACCATTTGCTGGAAAATATTAGTATCACATTATGAATTTGTAAAAAATTTTCTTCTGAGCAAATATTATTGACAAACTAGTAACCCAAAGTATTTATGTAGGTTGATCACGGTATAAATTGCTATTTGCCGCTTCTAATTAAAATTATTAGCTTATAACTGGGGAGATGCAACTGGAGAACAAATACTGTGGTGAGATCAGATATCAAGGTTAAAATAGCATACCTTCAAAGTCTATATTTTCATCTCAAGTCAAACATCGTAGGGCTTATGTAAATGTACTTGTCCTTTGATGTTCACTACATTGAAGTAGGCATTGCAGGATTCAAAAGGGATAGAGAATAATAAACGAGGATTAGGGATGTCCCACTGTCAGTATTTATACAGATACCTCAGTGAAAAATCTTCTACACTCAGATAGTTTTAGTTTTCAAGATGTTAGTACTACACACACTATACACTTAACTTACGATTATTAGATACTAACACTCAGCAGAGACAGCATTTCTAAATAATTTACAGTGCTATACCTTGAACACCTCTAAGTCATGATAGTCAGGACTTCAGACATCATCTCTAGGCTTTCTGTTTACAACGGCTAGCCAGCGTAAAAAGATGTTAGATTGCTTGAGTGAAATGATGAAACACTTTTTTTAAGGTTAAAGTAAGGAGTTGATGAAGCTTCATAAACAAACACATGGTAGGAATAAAATATTAATGTAAATTCACGACACCAACAGTCACTTTGTTTACGCTCAAATTAAGCACTAAACAATCTAACGAAGAGTAGAAGCCTACCAGATAAAAAGCAAAACTTGTCAGTACACCATAAATTATGAACGGACGTCTTCCGTTGATGCACGATCTCTGCGACTTAGTTAAGTATATCACTCCTCAAGTCTTGTCAAATAATTTGCTTTCGATGATGAGGTGCTAAGTAATGTTATTATTCCTACAGTTAGGGAGCATCGATGGGGATGCCATCACAAAAAATCTAGCTGAAGTGTTTAGTTGACATCGAAACGTCAAAATAACATGGAAGCACCTTTAAAAATTAAATCGATGCGTTTTATTATCGCTAGAGACTATGCAAGTATCCCGACAACTCGAGGTAGAATAGAGGCTTTACGCCGCATTCAAAAACATTGAAAGAAGGTGGTTGAATAATGTGAGAAACCCAATGTCTGAGGATTAGATCTAATAAATTTTTCTTAAAACATGTGACTCGCCATCGGAACATTCGAAGAAGCTTTGAATTAATTAGGGTTGTGCTGACAAGGTGCACAGATTAATAATATATTCTGACTGATAATTTGTGTTGGGACTTGTTGGACTTGGAGGAACTCTTCGGCTCACAGAGACCCAAAGTGTTAGGATTTTATTGCTATCCTCTCTTCCCATCCGCATAAGATCGAAAAGTAACTGGAGCGCGAAGAACTTCATGTCAGCCTACTACAACCAACCTGCGTTTTCTGACCCGACACGGAGATATTATGGAACAGTTTTAAGTGCTTAAGATAATACCAGCCCATCTATCCATTATGCTAGGTAATTAATTTGAACCCTATTCATCAAGACTACAAACCGTATGCATTGCCTAGAAAATAGCTATTCATGTAAAATATGAATTAGATGATACACTGGCTATTGTCGATAATATTCAAAATGAACTAAGTGAATTAATCATGACAAACTGTATCTTCTCAATGGTGATGAATATATATTTCTAGAATAGAGTCGTTGTAATATCGCTTTTTGAAAGCTGAATGTGAGTGTGAATAAAAGCTCCTCCACGTACATACTGTACTTTAACTCGGTGCTTTAATTTTATGTGTGAAGCAGTTTTTCTTGATCTCATCTGTAAATTCCAGTGATTCTGGTTAGGACGAATACCAGTTTTTTTATCGTATTTTCTGACTTTCTTACGTTTCTACTGAATTTATATAATTTTTACGAACTATATCTACGTTGGTTCTGATTGTACTTCATGAACTGTTTAGAATTGTTAATTTTTAAATTGTGGATTGAAGTACATTTCCTGGAATGGAAAGACTAATTGTTGTAACAAGTAGTTAGGTATATAATTTTGAATACTCTTGTTAACGATGTTTTTATTGATGGAAATATAATTTCTTAAACGAATTGTAGTGGATCATGTAGTATTTAGGTCTAGGTCTGTTTTAGTGGATTGATCTACGCTACAAGAACAGTAGACCTAATCCAATATTATGGGCTTTCCATGGTATAAATACCTAATATATTAGATCCTATGTTGAAGTCATATAATTGTCTATACGATTAAGCGTTTCCGAGATCAACACTGCTGACCTTCCGCAAGCACTAAACGGTGAATGCAACTCTTATCAGTTATTGTATGTTCAGCTTCAAAGGTCGAGTTGTTAAAAAACAACTTTACAAGTGATTAAATGTACAATCCATAATATTATTATAGTCGATATTTTTGTAGAGTTTGACATTAACATTTGTAAAGAAGACACGTAACCCATCTAAAAACTGGAGAATAATATTCTTGCATTAATAAATTTCAAGTTAGCGCTTGCCTATTAATGCGGTTTGATGATTTTCGCACTGTGTCCCCTATCCATCTTCAGAGCCTAATTTCCTATTCATCTCGAAGTTAGTTTGTTCTCTTCTATAGTAGGTTGTTACTGGTGGAATCCGGCCAACGGACATTGAGTATCTTGCCTAGACGGTTGTTCATAAATGCCTGTACATTTTTCATGATGGTTCTAGTAGTGCTCCAATTTTCAGCTTCATACAGTAGAACCCTTTTGACATTCGTATTGAAGATTCTGATTTTAACATTGGTTGGCAGTTGTTTTGAGTTCCATATGTTCTTCAGCAGTAGGAATGCTGTCAGGGCTTTGCCAATCCTTGCATTCACGTCTGCATCATAGACGATGATGCTACACAGATAAGAGGAACTTACCACTTCTTCCAGAGTTTTTCCATCAAGTGTGGTTGGGTTGCTGCTCTCTGTGTTGTATTTCAGAAACTTGCTTTTTCCCTTCTGTAGGTTGAGGCCTAGTGATTCAGATGCTGCTACTACACTGGCTGTCTTGACCTGCATTTCTTGATACGTATGGAATAGAAGGGCCAGGTCATCTGTGAAGTACAAATCGTCCAGTGGCATCTAGACTGTCCAGGGTATTCCGTGTTTCCCGTCAGATGACGAGGTTTTCATAATGCGATCAACCACCAGAAGAAAGAGAAGTGAGGGAGTAGACAGCCTTGTCTGATTCCAGTCGTTACTTGGAATGTGTCTGTCAGCTGTCTTCCATGCATCACTTCGCAGTGTAGTCCGCTATAGAAACTCCGTATGATATTGATGATCTTTTCAAGTACACTATAGCGTTGAAGAAGGCTCCATAAGGTCCTCCTATCCACACTGTCAAATATTTCCTTCTTGTCAACGAAGTTGATGTATGGTGACGAGATCCATTCACTTGATTGTTCACTGATGATCCGTAGCGTTACAATCTGGTCTGTATACAGTTTATACTTGCGGAATCCATCTTGTTGACCTCGAAGTCTGATGTCTACTAAGTCTTTCATTCGGTTCAACAACACTGTTGAAGACCATTCTTCGTACTGATTATTGTTTGATGCCCCTGAAGTTCTCACATTTGCTCAAACTTCTTTTCTTTGATATATTGATGAGATATCATTCTTTCTAGTCCGTCAGCACTTGTTCTTCCTCTTGAATCTCCCTGAATATGATGTGAAGCATACTTGCAGTTATTTCTATGTCTGACTTCAGTGTTTCGGCCGGATATATTCAAAGTGTCTTGCTCACGTGTTCCTCTGTTCTCGAATCTCAGTGAATGGCTCGCTTTCTTCATTCTTGACAAGTCTAGTCTGGTTTACCATAGTTCTCTGCCAGTTTCCTTGCTGTGTCATATTGTTTTTTCATATTTCCTTCTCTTGCAGCTTTCTCCGGTGTCATTGAAAGCTCTTCCATGTATTTCTGCTTGTCGGTCCTGATGCTACTCTTCACTTGTTTGTTTGTTTCTGTGTATTCAGTGTGTGCCTTAATATCCTCGGTAGTTGTCTCGATATTTTTAGTTTCTATCAACTTGTTCTAGATTTCTCGAATCTTCCCAAAGTTTGCTTTAGAGTAACTTGACGAACATATTAAGTTGAATGTCATTATCAGATCACCTCTTGTTCCACTATAACTCTGCAAATATAATCCCAAGTGTCTGAGTCTGTATTCGTGAGATTCGTTCGACAACTTCACCAACCAATCAGGTACTCGTCTTTGTACTTTGTCTGCGAGGTTTGCGTCTCCTTTAAAGAGAGTGAGCTTAACAGCATTGTGGAATTTGAGGTGAGGCTGTGAGTGAGTTTATGTGGAGTATCAGGAATGATTGTGAGGTGATTGTGTTGATCTGTACTCGTATAAATCGAATCGTTGTATTTAATTTAGCTGCGTCACCAATGCAGCTTGAGTCGGTTTCCAAGGTCTCTGTGGTTACCAGTTGTAAACTGAGCAGTGAGGATTGGTTTGCCGCTAAACACCGTATTTGGCTTGCATGAATTACTGGTCGTTTATTTATTGGTAGTTCACTCTGTTGACAGTGAACAGTTTGGGTTCTATCTACTGATTAAACAGCTTAATTTGTTTCTTATAGAACAACCAGACTTTGTCGGCAACTCACAGTCGTTTTCTCTATTACTAATCTTTCCCCTTCTCTCCTTCTTCAATCCCACGTTTGTATCATGCAACTGTGACGCGTTTGCACATACCTCGACCATATACATGTTGACCAGGGTCACACTTGTCACGATACAGTCTGCGATGGATACTTCATGAAAACTGTAAACTTATTGTCCAGTTCTATTACACCAACACACCTAATACATACTCTCTACATCTCCTTGCACATTGTGTTTTACGACTGCATTAAATTAATATTTTTAATACGCTTACGAGGTTAATGTCTCACTGGGTAACTCGTGTTGTAAATTGCCGTTCTTACCGGTAAATGCATGGATCTGTGCTGTGGGCTTATCCACCATGTAATAGTGTTTTGCACTCCAGCCGATTGTCTGCGCCTTTTCTTTTGAGTAACAACGGTTTTTTTGACAAAGCACAGTTGCACTACGGGATAAAATCAAAATTGTTTGATAGTTTTCATGGAACCATTCAGATCATGTACCGAATTCGCGTTCTAATATAATTTGGTACGAGCAGCTTCAAAGGTATTTTCAGGCTGAATAGGTGAATGCAGTCTGGTTTGATAGAGCAAACTTTGTTTCGTTGTTTCTCTCTGTGTTCAGGTCAAATATTAGAATTTTCGTTATTATAATAAGTTTTTAAAAGGAAGATTATGACTGTCCAAATTTACTTTGTCACGAAACAGCTGAACAATCTGTAGAGAGCTAAAGACGTCGGTTTTTTTGAAATATTCCTCGACTTTACGGAAGCGTTTGACATAGTACCACAACCCTTTCCTTGTAGTGAAGAATGCTAAGATAAGTTTAACTGAGCCACTTCTGTTTTGTCTATAAAAGACCTTAATCACCGGAGGTTTCGCACTTATGATGCCACAGACTTGACAAGTCTTGTGCTCACAACAACTTAAATAATCATGGGTTACTAACCCCATCAAACCAGAAGTCGGGAATGAAGTTGCTTGAATATAGACAATTTAACGTGAGGAATATGGTCTGAGCGTGTGAGTGGAGCTGGCTAGTTTCTGTGAGGGATGAGTAACACGGCGTGTGGATTCGTGACTGAAGACCTTCAAATACGGCGTGTCCAATAAAACTAATGAGGTCAGCATCAATTTTGAAGACACAGAGCTATTTATTAGATATTAGGTTGAAGTTTAATCTACCAACATGGCATTTCATGAACCTTCAACAACCTAAGACACAAACAACTCACGTCCTACATTAAAATATGGGAAGAGAATAAGGATAGGCTCCTTCAAATCTGCCCGCCGTTTCTTTTCAACGATATTGAACGGCCTGATTAGAGTCGGTCATTCCGTGGGTGTGTTGGGTCGTATGAGTATTAAGTTTTCCCATATTTAAGCCATCCTTCGCGGTATGAAAAAGCAAAAAATAAGTATTGAGAGCAATTATTTAGCATTTTCTGTTTTGTAGTCTATATGTTAGCTCTGTTGTTGCTTCGTAACTTGATCTGTGATCCCAACTTCTGTAGTAAACGTCCACACCTTTATATAATTTGTTGATAAGGTCCAGAAAACAACGTAAGAAAGATAAAATAACGTAAAAAGTCATAGATACGCAAAGTTTTTGTGAGTCGCTGTTAAACAAAGAAGTTAGGACGAAATATCAACTCAACGGTAAGTCCTAAATATTTGTTGTAATTCTTTCAGTTAGTATTTTTGTTCAAGGAATAACTTTTTTAATAGTTAATCCAAGTTGTCTGTAGTGCTTCATGTTTGAGTGAAGTTTCAGTGGACGTAAGCGAGGCGTTTCAACGCATTATGCTGAAAAGCAATTTGGAAGCTGGATTGAATTTGATAGTGCGCTAAAGGATTTCCATGAAGTATGGAGGAATAATTCTATATTTCTTCAGATTACCCATACGCACTATGTTCACGCAAAAAGTAAATTGTCCAAGGATGTGAGGTAGAAATACTTGTTTGTGGTGTCTCACTACACGTTTGGTCGTAAACGTAAATCAGCAGACCCGACAGTGAGTAAAAAACGGTGAGGACTTTAACTTACCTTTGAAATTTAAGGTCTAAGTTTTTAAACTGCCTACATAGGTTTCGTGTAAGATTGGAAGGTCAAGAATACGGCATAAAATTTTAAAACATGTCTCACAGCCATCCTTGTGGTAGTTTATGGATGGTTTGTGATCCGTGAAGTAGAAGTTTGTCATTCAAAGAAAAAGAAAACTTGAAGCCAGTAATATTGCACTCTCAGTCAACAGATGAAGTTATAGAAAGTATTAAGAAGAGAACTGGTAAGGTTACCGCTGCTGGTGTCAAAGTTATGAAAGCCCAACTCTCCACTGGTAAGTGTATAGAAATGTATTACAGGTTGTACTCGAAAGCAGGCAGTGCATATGCTGCGACAAAACGGTGAACTTAGGGAGGATGTAGAAAGCATTATGAAGTCGATCTAAGCACTTGTGTATGCGATTGTAGAATATTTGTTACGTGTCAATCACGTGTGGGAACGCCGTGCTCAACATCTACTGCAATCGCTAACCAGACTAGACCAGACAGTTCCGATATATTGGCAATCGTCAAATACAACTTCTGATCTCCTCGATTCTGTCTTTTGATTTCTCTTGGTGGGTACGAATTAGAACTTTTATCTTCTCTCTATTCTAACACTTCCGTCTACTCGATGACTTGGGATTGTACGAAAATTTGAGGTCAGCAACTCATTGGAGAAACAGTCAGACGTCATCGCGCTCAGGCTGTGTATTCACAAACGAAGAATTTCTAGTTGACAACCTCTCAACCTTGGCTCCCCTGGGGAGCCGCCTGCTAAGCCGCAAAAGGCACTGTTGGGCGGAATACAAACGAACTGATAACGACTGAGCGTACAGGCAATATAAACATATCAGGAACATATGCACGAAGGCTATAAGAGAAGACAGGCTTCAGTACCAGACAGAGCTTATGGACAAATTTGCTTCTAATTCTAAAAGCTTATTCCGTTATGCAGCCCCTCTTCGTCAAGCCAAAACTGGAGTTTTTTAACTTTTAGGTCTTAATGGCCCGACTAACAACGATGTCAACGCAGAGAACCTTCAAGTTACCGACCGGTGGCTCTTCTCTCCATACCCTCAAAAATCATGGAGTCCCTGATATGCGATGGTATAAATGACTATTTACTGTCCTTAAATTTCTTCTCACCCCAACAGCACGGTTTCAGGAAGGGTTACTCTTGTATTACCAACCTGCTGACTGCGGTGGACAGATGGACAAGCATCCTCGATCACAAGGGGAAGGTTGATGTCATCTACCTAGATTTCTCAAAAGCTTTTGATAAGGTCAACCATACATGTCTTATCAATAAGCTCATACGATTGGGTATCAGACCACCTCTAATCGATTGGCTCATTTCATACCTGAAAAATCGACATTTTAAGGTCAGGGTTAATTTCACTTTATCTCAGGCTATGGAATGTCCTAGTGGGGTCCCCCAGGGCTCAGTACTGGGACCTCTTCTCTTCTTGATCTACATAAATGAACTTCCTCAACAGGTGTCGTCAGACGTATTACTTTTTGCCGACGACGTGAAACTTTGGAGAGAGATACGCAACCAAGACGCCATACAGGCAATTCAGGAGGATCTGACACGACTTCAAATTTGGGCAGACGACAACGGACTTACCTTTGACACTTCAAAGTGTAAAGTAGTCCATCTGCGACATGTCGCAGACTACAGTTATAACTTAGGTACCTCCTCTCTAGTAATATCCCAAGTCGAAAAAGATTTAGGAGTCCTAGTGCCCTACTATTTAAAGTCTTACGCTAACTGTGACAAAAATGCCTTCCGAGCAAAGCTTGCACTGGTAACATCGAAGAGCATTTTTGGCCAGTTTGACGGAAGAACTTTCCATATAATCTTCAATAGTTTTATCCGTCCCCATTTAGAGTACGTAAACATAGTATTTCCCGACTCATTCGAAAAGGATAAGGACACCCTGGAGCGAGCCACAAAATCAGTTCGGAGACTCAAATTCAAACCTTATGAAGAGCGGCTCTATTCACTTAAACTTTACCCATTAGAGTATAGACGTCTTAGAGGTTACCTTCTGATGGCTTATAGTATCCTTAACACTTCGGGACATCCTCTCGAACACCTACTTAAGCTTAGTTCCAACACTAACCTAAGAGGTAACACCCAAAAACTGGAGACACAACACAGCAGAACGGACTGTAGGCATAACTTCTACTCCTTAACAGTTGTCAAATGCCGGAATTCGCTGCCGGCCGAGCTAGTCGAAGCGACTTCCCAGGAGTCATTTAAGAGGCAACTTGACCTATTCTTAAGGACTAAGGATAGTATCGCACTATGATTTACTAATTTCCTTTCCTGTTTTATTGTTAACATACCTAGGTTCCTGCCTGGAGGATTTGGTGATCCCTTGCTACTAGACACGGAAGCCTGTTAAGCGAAAGTTTCTTCTATTCCGTCCACAACCATTTGAACCATTTACTCACACTGTGATCAATAATTTACTTGTGCAATCGAGTTGCTAGACTACCACTACCACTTAAAACCACAAATTAAATGAGACTGTACGGTAACAATGGGAAACGAGCACAAAAAATCAACTGGCTTTTTATAAGCTGGTTACGTAGATATCTGAATTTGTTTTTCGTACGAGGGAATTTTAAAACGGAAGTTTATTGTGATGCATGACTTTCTTGTAATAGTTGTTGTATTTAAACGTTATGAGTAAGTGTAAAGTATTTCTACGCTGATATTCGGTTATAAGTTTTGCAAAATTGGTACGGGCGTTTATGATATTGAAAGATCATACATGGAAGGATCTTTTCATGATATACCAATTAACGTTTGATATGGTAGGAACCAATTACGTTCAAGGAAAGGAGTTCAACTTCGTGAAATAGATATCTAACAAAATTTATGGTTATCACCATTGTTATTGTTTACAGTGATGCAGACGTAACAGGCTTGTTTTTAGACGTTTGATTGTTTAAGTATCTACCCTCTAGCTGCTGCAAATTTTGCGGCTGTTAGGAGATGCAATTGATTATGAGACAAACCAACGTTTTATTTTGATGCACATTAGTGAAAAAAGGATGAGATTTGGTTGTTTTCTTATTCAGAATTGAGATTTAAGTGGTGCTTCTTTTAATTGGTATAATATTAAAAACCAAAACGTCCATGTTGTGCAGGTTGTTTAAAGTTTAGTGAGATTGATTTTCAGGAAATTCCAAGTTTATTCATGAGGTCGAGTTGCCAACAATGTTAGGTTCTGGCTGGAGAAGTTTTTCGTCGGGTGACGAATACCATCAATACTGCCTGTCACAAAGTTGGTTTCAAAAGCTGATATTTCTAACTTCAGACCAAATAATATCCTTCCAGTCATCTCATTAGTGCTCAAGGAGTAGCTAAAATTCCACTGTCAAATATAAGTTGGAAGCATACCTCCTATTCATCACAAACTGTTGATGTCTCTTACATCTATGACTTATCATTGTGAACTTCTTGACCACGTAATTGAATATAACAAATTTGATTTGTATTGTATCCTGGTTTATAATAGAGTTTTGTCAGGGTTTTACGCAAACTGCTACTCTTAAGATTTGCCTTGTGGGAACTGGTATTACGTGGACGAGGTTAGCTGAGTACAAAACCTATACTTGATACGTGTTATATTACGTTGGCCCAGATACGTATACAGTTGATAGTATAAACTAATTCCCAGATTTCCAACAATGTTGTTTCAAAATGTAACAGCTAAAGGTCCTGGATTAATTGTAATTCATTGACGGTTGAAAAGTGTTTCACGAGGGAACATTTTCGCTAGTAGTGGAACTCTAACCTTGTCATGAAGCTAGAGCGGCAACTTCTAATGATTTTCCAACCAGATCCACCAGGTCATCTCAACATCACCTTGTACATCGTTTTATTCGTGGTAATATATAACGGATTTTTCTGCTCAATCGTGTTTTTGAAGAAAATTTACTAGTCGATTTTGATTAGTAAAATATTTGTGTTGCATAGTAAAGTTATTATTTAGATAATACCTCGTTTTTATTTCGGAATATTTTACTGGTTTTTTTTCTAGGGCTTTTAGGCTTGTCAGCTGCATGTAACTTGCCTCCATATTTGGACAAAGCATCCAAAAAACATTTTCCATCAATTCAAGCAGAGCCATGGAAACATTAGAATCTATGTTGAAAGCTGTACGCGATTTTCTTACCTTTCTTGAACAGAGTAAATGTGAATTTGACTAATTGAATGACTAACAGATAAACAAAATATTCTCAATATATCGTCTGTTCCATCTGTGAAATTTCACCCAGTACCAGGTTGTTCGGAATATACAACCAGTCTCCCTTCTGCGAAAAATGATTACGTTGCTCAAACCCCTTTTGTACTGTTACCTAAACTTAATGAAAACCCAGATATCTCCCGAAGTGTCGATACATATTGGTAGGTATACTGGTAGTCTGTGACATTACTTTTTCAGTAAAACGCCCAAGTCATCAAGGCCTACTCTTAATCGTTTAAATATACCATGTTCATTATCGTCTGAACTATATTCATGGTGTCCTGTCGGACTACAAGTAGATGGAGATTGTTCTCTTGCTGGAATAGAAAGAAGACCAAATCAAATGTCTTGTAGATTTGTAGTAACTAATCGTGTGTCATATGTTTCAGAAAATGGTCAGATTGTATGCACGGAAGGTAACAATATATATTATTTACGTGGGGGATTTTCTTGGACAACATTTTGTGCACTTTATCCTATGCTGTTAATTAACTCACCTCCTCCTGGAATAGTTGATGCATTTTCTAATGGTTTTCCTGCACATAATTGGAGAAGTTGGACTCAAGGACTGCACTACTTTATATCTACTGCTTCCGAAGGGATTAAGGAATCTGTAGTCATTAGTTCTGATGTACAACCTATAAATATGCCAAGTCCTATTTGTGCTAATAGGTTGCCAAAGGTAATTCATTGTTTGCTTTCATCATTAGTAATTGTTTCATATTTCGTGCTGTCATTGCTAGTAAATGGTTCAATTAGATTCAGTTTTCCCAATAATTCACTTCAAAAATTTGTGTCAACTTCATTGCCCTTTCCGAAGTGAGTTTTCGCAACTAATCGTCCTGTATTAAGGTTTTGGTATTTGTGAATTCCTTCTGGTATGTTGCTTTCCGATGAAATGATAGGTTTCACCTTATCCAGTTAACATTTGGAATTTGTTTAGTTGTAACTAGTCTGTTCTATTTTCTATCGAGATGTTACCCTGCTATAACTGCTACCTTGACTTGGTTGTCGGGTTTGCATATCATGATAACCCAATGGGGTTATTTTGGCTGAAATATTCATTCCTCCCGTTCCTACCATGCCGGGCACGTTTTATTGAGTGCAGTAAAACTAAAAACAGCAAATTGAGGTCCGAGAGTGAAGTCGTATTGATAACTACACAGGGTAGTACAGTGTGTCCGAAATACACATAGAACATCCTCATTCGGTGATTCAGCTAACCTCACTGAGTCAGTACAATGTACCCTTTGTGTATCTGAAAATACGACGGAACTTTTCGCGGTCTTGCAGCTGTAGGTAAACCGCTAAATTTGAAAGTTCATCAAGTACTCTTAGACTGGATTCCTATTGCAAGTCACTCATGTGCTTCACTTCAGTTGCATAGTAATAACTCGGAGTGATAAGGATACACTCCGTCGTCTCGTCGTTTCTGCTTCTGCCTCCAATGACCGCAGCTTGGACAGAGTGAAATATAAGTTTTACGGAAAACTATGATGTCCTTCAGAAAACCAGATGCTCGGAAGTAGTGGTTTTAACATGCGATTTTAATCCTAAATCGGTAGACAGTCAGATTGAGGGACAATAGTAAGATTTATGACGTTCCTTGCCCCCAAATGTCCGAGGGTAGGGAGAATCAGCTTTCCCTCTCCAAATGCTCTCACATGGCCACGAGTATACAACCATTGTCAGGGAAGTCCTACTCACTGCTCTCACGGTGGGGGTGATGTTTACTAAATGCAGAGGGCGAAAAGCAAATGTCCGGCACTTTAACTAGGTTGGTGAATCTGGGGACTACAACTAGAGGAGTTGGGAAACCCTGATTCCAAATCAGTAGTGCGCATGGGCTTCAGTATCCTGAGGGAACAAATGGCGTATGAACCAATTATTGGTCACCGGCTATCATGGGACTGCATCTCCTGATGTTGCTTCATTGCCTTGTGGACCAGACCTTTAGTTCGAAGGCTCTTGGTGTGACCCCCTAAGTAAACCACCTGCTTCGGTTTGGGCACTTGGGCAGTATCACAGCCCTCACACAAATGAATGATAACTGCTACTGGCCTCATTGTACTTGCTACCTCCTTGTACCATTGTTTATGTGTTCAAGTAGATAAATAAAGACAGATAGAAAAAAAAGATATTAACATAGAGCATAGTACAGATGTACGTTGGTCTAAGTTCCTATGCCAGCGTGGTATGATGACGAAAATAACAAAATAGGTCGAAATGTGGTAATGATAAGAAGAAATACTCAACCTTGGAAACATGGCTTGGAAAGACAGAGTAGAAAGGTACTTGAAAATGGATAATGCCATTCAAGATCAAGAGACATACCTACGAATATCCGTTACTATTAATTGCTGTGTTTCACATCCATAAAGTAGAACGGAGAAAACTGTCATGTAGTAAACTCATCCTTTCGTTGTTAGATGGATATATAGCGCCGACTCTTTCCACTCTCGGCCGTACCACGGCCCAAATGTCTGAGAAAGACGATCAAAGGTCACTAACTACGGTGTGATGATTAAAGCACTTCAAGGGGACTAGTTCCCGCTGTCGATCATTCCAGTTTATAATGAGAAACCAAAACCTCATCCATTAATAACGAAAGGATTAATCTGTCTAATACAATATTCAAAAGTACATATTTTATAATCTTTGTGTAGTTGAGTCGCAAATTATCTAGGCAGGTTTTAATGGTGTATCGATCGGATTTCCATTTTTCACTGGGTCCTAAAGCAGGCGCATCTACTGACGCCTTACATCGCCTATTTTCTTTGATTTAACGATGGCGTGTCTCTCTGTCGATTTGGAACTGTCAATTTTTGAGATAAACCACGGACAAGTATATTACGTGTTTTAGTAAGGTATTTCTACTTGAAGTCACACTGTCATGTAATGGTATAGGTAAAAATCGTTGCTCAAGGTAACAGCAATAAACGGTATCCTTTATGAATGTCCTATTCAACTTTATTACGGTAAGAATTGATGGTAATCTTATTGAGACAGTATTGCCATTTCACTGAATCGTCCGCTCATAGTCCGATCCATATTGGCTAATGAGCTCTACAAAATAACTATACTCTTTTGTTGAAAATCAAATCGTATTGATCAGAATTGCTTGTATTTGTTCTTTAATTTACTCTAGATTTTAGAGATGATACTCTTCCTTTCAACATTTTGTTTCTCTTTAGCTTTTTTGTCACTTTTCCGATTGGTGATCTCATTTTGTTGTACCCATACTAACTGTGACAACCTGAACTGACGTACACTTGTGTCAAGTGTCGTGTTATTTATTTGTATAAGTTATTGTTTCATATGTTTCTTGGTCTTAAATAGTGGGTTGTTTTACTCATTATATATTTCAAATCTTTCAGTGTTACATCTCATTTAAATTATAGGATTAAATCTAACCCTATAACAATGTGCAGCACCAACTCATCAGTTTTTCAATAGTTGAGGTCATCGGTCAATTGAAGATAGACCACCATGGAAAAGCTGGAAGCACGGAACGGCCGTTTCGTCCTGTTGTGGGACTTCTCAGCAGTGCGCATCCCCTAGAATCTCTACTAAGATGTCCACAAAACCCCTTCTGATGCTCATCAGTTTTCACTGTTAATTGCTTAGTGAATTATTTCTATATAGTTTTCTTTTTCATTAAATAGTCTCTTGTCCATCCTATAATAGTTCCTTATGTAAAAGAAGTGATTGGATTCTATCTAAAATTTAAGAAATTTCAAGTTAATTATTAATAAGAATAGGTTAGATTAATTGGGTATCATTTTCAGTGCTACCATCTAAGTTTATTGGTAATACAGTTGTTGATAAGTATTACTTTCTTGCTTGTCTAATATTCTTTAACCAATTCAATCGGCTTGATCCAAATCAGAATTAGAATAAGTGGAAATAAGAAATATTTCGATAAACTGGTATAACAAATGTATATTCGTGAAAACATTAAGGCTTATACAAAATTCACATGGAGAATCCCCCGCGATCTCTCAATTTGATTGATTGAAAACAGGCTAACAGACATATTCAGATTTGAACGTGCACAGAACATACAATCTTCAGGATTCTATTCTATTAACAATGTTCTATCAAAAATATTAGACACACCATTGGATGCCGGCTCAATGGTCCAGTAGGTAAAGCGTCCGCGCGTGAGACTGAAGGCCCTGGGTTGAAATCCCGCGAGCGGGATCGTGAATGCGCACTGCTGAGGAGTCCCAAAATAGAACGAAACGGCCGTCCAGTGCTTTCAGGTCTCCAACGGTGATCTAGCATCAATCGGTTCATGATTTCAATCAAAAACAATAGATCTATTAGTTTTTTGTGCTTCTTATCAACTCAGTAGTAGAAAATGCATTTAACTGTCATGTCAGTATAAAAAGCTGAACTTTTTTTGATTTCAGGAAAATCAATATAAGCATATATTAAATCCAACCAATCGTGATGTAGATCTAGATTCATTTGTTGGGAATACATTTCGTGATTTGGAAAAAGATTTGGAGCTTGCTGATCCTGTTAAGACGAGTGAGTTACATGTTATAATATGCATTAATATGCTTTTTCCCCAAAGTCCTGGGCTTGCAGTAGTAAAAATTAAAAATAGTTTTGTGTGGAGTTAGAAAGTGATATCTAAACAATCGTTGTCAGTCATTAACAATGTTGTATACCGATAAAGATCATAGTCATAGTGTTCTATTTAATTATGGTACTAAATAGAAATTATCCTACATTTTTTAAATATTGTACTATTACCATTCAGTCAGTCAGTATCAACGTAGAACCTCGTACGTACGTACATCATTTCAGTTGCCATACCACATTAGCACAGAGAAGCAGTTGTCGATTCGAATCCTGTAGTGGTAGAGGTAGCAAATGTATAAGCAGTAATCAGAAAGATTAGGGTTTGAAGATGTTATTCAAGGAGTATAATTCAGTGAAATAAATTTGGAAATAAAAGAAAGACATAAAGAATTCAGATTAGAGTTTGGGAGAACACAAAGAGTGGATGCACCTGCGCCATTGCAAACGATTTTGAGCCATGTCATTCAAGGTCACTAACCATCGGTTGCTATCGTCTCGTGGATCCCAACCAGGTAGTCTACACCTACCAATATGACTCAGTCCACTTGTTGGTAGCGACTTCATGGATTTGTGCCATGTTTCACCAACGGATTTCAACATAAAATTTCAAGTGAAATAGGCGCTAATAATATTCAGAATGATAGTGAAAACTTTGAAATAAAACAAATCTAACTCAGAATATAATATAAACAAAAGTATCCATCTTAGCTGGAAATCTTATTTATTTATTTATTTGAACACAAATATTGGTACAAGAGAGCGCCAACATATATGCGCCACACAAAACAATGAGAATTCGAAGAGAAAAAAAGGTGAGGAGCGTAAGAAACGAGAACAATAACAAAGGGGTTGGTGTAAGGTAGTGTGGTTGTAACGAGGGAACGGAAAGGTACAATCAGAAGAAATCTTTCAGGTAGGGAGACACAACCACTTTTTATGAAGAAAGTAAAAGAAGGTTACAGCAGGATGGCCACTGGCTTCTATTCTGAACCATATCTGATAACGTCTCTAGCCACTGTGTAGCACCATCTCTCGGACCCCAGCCAGGGAGTCGTGAAGGACCGACAGAAGCCAGTCCTTTGCAGCTTTCTTTCATACCACGACACCATGTCATGCACTGACCACCTCTCCGCTTCTTCCAACCAGTCCCAGAGTCGGCAAATAATGAACGACGTGGAATTCTCTGGGACGACATTCGTAGAACATGTCCAAGCCACCGAAGTCGGTGTTTCAAGATGGTGACACCAATTGCATTGTCGTCTCTGCGCGCGAACACACGCTGCCGAACCTCTCTGCATTACTGACATGGTGTTGCCACTGGATGTCAGCAATCCTTTGGAGACAGCGGTGATCAAACACAGAGAGTCGTCTAATATCCTCAACTCGGAGAGGCCAGGTTTCACAAGCATATAGTAGAACTGCTCTCACCGACGCGTTGTAGATCCGACCTTTTACAGCCAGACTAACATCACGAAGGCGCCAAAGGTGGCCCAGATTGGCATAAGCCGCTCTGGCTTTCACTATACGTGCATTGATCTCATCACTCACACCCCTACCAGCACTTATGCAGCTACCCAGATACACGAACTTCTCCACTACGTCTATCTGTTCACCATCCAGGGTGAGTACGGGATTAGAATCCCGCCAGTCTTGTAGAAGTACTTTGCACTTCGAAGGTGCAAAGCACATACCATACCTAGGGACACTGATTGCCAACTGATTAAGTGCGGATTGCATGGCTCGTGCATTATCGCACAGTAAGACAATGTCATCCGCATACTCAAGGTCGAGACGTCTTTCTCCAGGCAACAGATCCACACTGCCATTACTTACATCCATCAGGGCTGTTTCCAGAATGTCATTGATGGCAAAGTTGAAGAGGAATGGTGAGATTGGGCAACCCTGTCTAACCCCACTGCTCGAATGGAACAATGGAGAGAGGTGGTTGTATGCCCTCACTCTGCCTGAGGTGTTTGTATGTAGGGCTTTTAGGATGTTAATAAACTTCTCAGGCACACTCTGGAAATCTTCTTCATTATTTATTAGTATAAAATGGATATCGTTTGTTATTTTTATGAGGATGACTTCACCGTTAGTCTTCATATATTTCAAAGTAATCAGTAAAATCGCAAATGGAAATGAAGTGGTAACTGTTGTAACGTGTTGACTGCAGGTTTTAATAAGCAGCGTATTTGTCGACCGAATCAGTGACACGGAGAAACATATAGTGAACGGCCTAGGGTTCTGATTGGTCCCACTCCCCTGTCTAGCCCAGCCAGTTGAGTCTAGAACGCAAGTCACAGCCTCTGAGATATGAATCGTTATATTTAAAACATACTCTGTTTATATACCAACCAAACAGACCACATCGTACCATAAAAATAGAAAATAACATCTGTACAATATTTAACGAGTGAAATAAATAATGGCCAATAGGAAATGTCCATTTAAGGTCCAAGGACATCATTAGACTTAACATGATAATGATTGGCACATTATTCATCAGCATCTATAACAGTAACTGAATTTAATAAATTAGTTTTTGTGTGTTGACAAACCCACTGGAAGTCAGAGATTATTATTTAAAAGCGTTTTAAAATCGTGATTTGTTAATTCACAGCATCATAAATAAACAATAATTCGAGATTGATTTTTTAACATCTTTATGTTTTGAGTTTAACATAATATACTCAGACTAATAAGCTGAAATATATTTTTCCTATTCAACATTTGTCAATTTATTATGTAATTTTGACTATTGCTCGTTTTTATAGGTGTTAACTGTCTCATTTACCATCTGGTAAATTATTACTCATAATACTTAAAAAAAATAGTCGAAGTATATCATGAATTGGTGGAAGTAAATTATATGTGAACCCTTTGATTTAAACTTTTTGGTTTAAAAGTGCCCTACTGACCGCAATATCTGAAGGCTAAAATTTGAATTCCGCCGAAATTTTAAATGCGAGTTGGTAAAAGTATATTTTACTGAAGAATTTCAGCGACGTTTAGGATGACCTTCAAAAATTCGTAAATCAGATAACGTTCCGATTGTACTACACTACATGCGTGCCTTTTGCATATATCTACATACTTGAACTATATAGACCTGATAACTTCTGCAATACATATACAGGGGCATACACATCAGGTAGGCTGATGCGCTTAAGTGAGCCTAAAGTTGGGACCTGAATAATCCAGGTTACAACTGAGTGGTGGATTAGTGCGATTTCCTTCGACCATCTTAGTTGGCTTGCAAGGTTGCCCCTACTATCCAGCAGCACAGCAAGGAGGCCTTAGATCGGGTTTTGCTACCCTATGTCCAACAAAATCAGCGGCCTAATTTCTCAGGTCGAACGCAGCAAAAAGATACAGTAGCAAATACGAGGAAGAGGTGACCAACAACTTCCCTGAGAGAGTACTTATGCTTATGTGTATCATGAACTACTGGGACGGCAGCCATGGGTCCAATGATATACACGTGATGTGTAAGAGACAATTTGTTGTAGCAAATACGTTTCAAGAGGAGCGGTGAAAATCTACCCTCCCTTGTGAGTGAATATACCTATTTGTATGCTATGAGATGCATGGGATAAAACCTGTGTTACCGGTGTGTAATGCATATTCGCTCACTGGGTAGTTATACCTGTATATATACCAAGGGATACATGGTTGAAAGTCCGTGTGGCAACTAGTATGTACGTAGACTACATTTATCCCAGGGTAAGTAAAAACCTCAAATAATCCTTCACTTACACTTCTTGGTGCGGGGTAGCGGTTCCCCTTGAAAACACAGAGTCCATCCCAGAAGTGCTACTAGACTTCACTAGAAAAGACTACCAACGAACCTGGATGGAACGTCATAGTCTGTATTCCTTCTTGAGTGTTGTTAGGGGTATTAGGGGGGTTATCACTTCCCGATCGCCCACACCGTGGAAGGGTTCTTCTGGACGTACATGAAAGGGAAATTGGATTAGAGATGGCCTTAGTGATCTGAGAGCGTTATCGCAGTACCTAAGGGACATTTGCTTGAGGTCGGTCACACACCACCTTTTGGTGAATAATTTTCGTGTTAGCTCCGTACTTATTGAGACCTTACCACCGGAGACAGATACCCGTAGGATAAGGCGAGGTGTGCATTTTGAGGGTCGACCTTTTCTAACCCCACCTCTCCTTGTGGGAAAGCAGCATCGCTGTTATACTGGTTGTTTGGAGGGAATACCTTACTGTCGTCACACTTCTGTACAGTCAGCAGTACGATTTTGTCTTCGAACCTTTGGTTTGCTGCTTTTAGTCTTAGCGCTTTCAATTAACCTGTCGGTCGGTCTGTATTCCTTGGCATTCTTATGTTTAACAATTTTCAATGTTTTAGTAATAAGATTTTTACTTTGTTTTTAATAAGATACTATCACATTTTGAATTTCGTACAAAACCCACTAACTACCACCACAAATCGAATTAATTCATCAACAAAGAAGTATATTCTCATTTGACTATTTTCAATGAATCTTAAATTAAAACAAAACAATCATCTAGTCCTTCTTATTCTCAGTACTTTTCTCTAACTGTTATAATTCTCTCTTACGGTTATAATCCAGCTATTCCTATTGCTTAGTATTCTCAGACACCGGTTCACTCGACAAGTCCTCCAAATCAAAACAAGGTTGTACAAGAAAAGAGATTATATTCCAAATAACAAGGTTAGATGGAATTAAGAAGCAAGTAAGTAGTACAATAGGGAAAACGTTAGTATATTTATAGTTTTTCACATGAGATTTCTGGTGTTCACTAAGTATTGGCTAACGCTGATTGGACAAGAATTAGCCAATCAGCGTGCACCAAAGCAATCGTGCATTGAGCATGCTTTAATCCAGTCTATGTCCGGCTAACACTAACTGACACCTATTCATAATGAATATCTATTTCTCCATAAATCTCAATATTATTTTAATAATCATACATAAACTATTCTCTTTTCATTACATTATTATTATTTTTTCTCTTTTTAGGTATTCAAACAAATCATAATCATAGTAACAATAAATCACCAATTGAATTAAATGATAATAATAATAATTTATCATCAATAGATTCATTTTCTCATTTCACTTCAGTATCTGAAAATCATTATCCACCATTAACATCTATTCATTTATCAAAAAAATTAAGAAAATCGAAATTTATTGATAAAAATCAATTAAATGATCCAAATCATTTAATCAATAAAAAATCAATAAAACAAAATAATCAATATTTATTAACAGATAAAGCTAATTTACGTAAAATTAAAAAACAAACAAATAAAAGTCAATTACGTAATTTATTATCAAATCATCAATCTTTATTCAATGATCAAAGTGATAATAATAATGATGATAATGATGATGATGATAATATTGATGAACGTTATCGTTTATATACAGCCTCAGGTTTGTGAACTACTTTTTTTCTTCTTCTCTACTTTTTTATTTCACCGATTGAAATCACGAGTCAGTTGAAGCCAGACCATCATGGAAAACCTAGAAGCACTGGACTGCCGTTTCGTCCTGGTGTGGGACTCCTCAGCAGTGCGCACCCACGATCCCACACCACGCGAGATTCGAACCCAGGACCCATCAGTTTCGCGCCAGGCGCTCAATCAACTAGACCACTGAACCGGCATCCAATGGTGTTAATGTCTGACTTTGACCAATCCACGAAGTTGGGCCACCGTACACCATTGTCTTCAGTGAGTTGATATCTCAGAACAGACCTGGTTGAACTATACTGGTAACGGCTTCTCACTAGAACTCTAGGAGTATCTCTTGAAGTCAGTCACTAGTGAGTAGATGATTATTATCAGAAGGGGTTCGTGGAGATTTTAGAAATTTCACGGGGTGCGGGATCGCGTATGCGCACTGCTGACGAGTCTCATACTAGGACGAAACGGTCGTCCAGTGCTTCCAGGTTTTCCATGGTGGTCTAGCTTCAATTGACTCATGATTTCAATCAGTGAGATTTATAAAATCTCCACAAAACCCCTGATATTTTTTATTTGTTGCAGTTTTTCTTTTCCTTTTTTTTCTAAAATGAATTATGAATAATTGGTATAGATTTATTCATTTCTATTTGTTTATTATTTATTGGATAAGTTAAATTAAAATATGGTTTATGAAGTGAATTATTCAACCATTGAATTGAATAGTTTGTAGATAATGTAAAATTATAATATAGTTGATATTTGTAAAATAATTATGTTTTATAGTTGGTAATGTTAAGTAATATAGATTATCATAGGGGTTAGAATGAGCGATAGTCTTCTGTTGAGCCTCTTCAACCATGACTAATGGTAATATGGTCTATGTGAGTTTATCGTTGGTTTGGTGTCAGGGGGTCGTCATGTTAGATGATGTCTCTCCTTATGCTTAAAATTAGTGCTTGTTAAAAGTAAACGACTGTCTGAACACAGTTGCAGCAGACGATCACCATTATCTATTCGCTGAATCGGGATACTAAAATAACCACCTAAATGTCTTTTTGAGCATTAGAGTCACATGCTACGAGTATTATGTTTAAGAGTTTAGCATTCTGAAGAGATTCAGAAAAATTTCTGGGAAAGTTATCTTTCACTTGATCCGAGCTGCAGTCAATGGGAGCGTAGGCCCCTGTAAGTTCGCATGATTATTGCAACTAATGGTTGGAGACTCTTGGTGACATGGCTCAAAATCGATCACAATGGAGTCGGTGTATACACTCTCTATCTTCCTTTGAACCGTGAGATTAAAATTGCTTTATACCTTTCTTTCTATGAACTAATTCTTTCTTCCTGTACTATATCCTTATATGCAATCTTTCTTTTATATATTACTACCATTGAAGTAACTACTTCCATGAATCCGGTGTTCATCTTGTTGTGCTAATGAGGTCTGGCAACTTGGACCGATGCATATATGTGCCTGGTCCTACGTTATAGCTGACTAACTGACTGATCGTAATAGGTCACAATCAGTCACTGCTATGTTTGAAGAAGTTACGAGGTCACCTAAAATCGGCGAACTGGACAAAGGATCATTGACACATCAACAAGATAAACTAAACTATTCCGATGCGTCCCAACCCTGCTAACTAGAGGGAGAAGGTCTGGTTCAGATGAAGGAAAATTGTATTCCTCAAGCAGGCACACAACTCAAGCATTATATATACAACATAAAATGGTCATTGGGAAACATCACGGAATTGTATATTAAAAGGCAACGAACGAGTGACATTTGGGGTCCTTCCAAGTGGGAAATACAATCCGAAGGTGAAATGGGATTTTTTGGCATGAGAACGAGAAATTCAAATCTCTAACATAAAATTACAGAAAACCAGACGTTTACTGAGTGATTTATGGTGATCTAGCATTCCCGATATATAATACATGTTCTAACCACTTCAGATGATAAAGATTCACTATCTCGCCATTGGATTTGCCATGTATACCGAATACCACGTGGCCGACCTCAGAATTCCTCAGTTAGACATATATTGGGAAATAGGATTCATTGGACAGTTGTTTCATTCTGACATAGGAGTTTCCAGCAATACCCATCCATGACCCCGCCACTAGGAATCGAGGCTAGGACCTTCGGTTTCGCCCGCAAACGGTGAAGCTATAAAAAAATACAGCTCAGTTTTCTGTGGATGTTTAACTTAGGTCTGTTCGTGATACTAATAACATAAATGAACTTTCTAATGAATGAACATTAAAAATATATATGTTTATCCTTCAGAGGAAATAGCCTTAACATTTTTAGTTATCCACTTCAGTCTAACGCTGGTGTAATTTTATAAATTGTAGTTTAGCACCCTAACAGCTTATTTACTTATCCTTCAAATAAAATTTGTATTTAGTTCATTCAAATCTTTAAGGAATTACCCATTATTTTGTATACTTATATATTTAGGTAAAGTAGTTGATGTTAGACAGTTAAACCGTACAAGATCTGGACGCATCGTCATACCGAAACTAGACGCGCGTTATGAACAAAGTGTTGTTTTAAATCGTGGACATGTAATGGGTGTCAGTCGTAATACAGATGATGAGGTATGCAGTAATTGTTATTGTTCATAGTATTTAACAGTATTAATGCTTTTTTTTTAAAAAAACAAAATTTAACGCATCTAGTCAAGTGTAAGAACTGTACAAACCCGTAACGTTTGAAACGCGTTCAAAAGTGAAACAACTGATAGTTGAAAGCATTTATCGTCAAGCTAAATTAATCGTTTACAACTTCCTTATTTGTAGCTTCATATATTTTGAAAGCTACGTCATAAACTATCGATCCTAAAATATACTACACGTACTTGCCTCATGAATTTACGTTGCCGGGGATAAGGTTCGCTAAATATATAAAGCTAACTCAACCAAATGCACATGTGTCACTAGTCTCAAATAAATATCTTCATATCGGCAAAAAATTTAGTTCTGCTCTTATCTCCTTTTTAGAGGCATATGAAAATATATTCGTCCATGATATGGGTAACCAAAATATGTCAATCTCTTGTACTAATCGAGTTAATTTTTCTTTCAAAAGTACTAGTATCTTTTATGCGTCTCGATATCAACTCTACTACTGAATCACATTAAAAGTTCATTTTGAGTGTTTTTTAGCTTCCATAAACCTATAATGTATATTTTCTGCAATTATTCTTTCGTTTTTCCTTATTAACTAATTTCTTTGTAATTGTGATAGTTTATTACGTGCTGTCTAAGATTATTTATCATACACAGATACAAAAATGTGTACGTTTATTTTTATGATATTCGAATTTTTTGAAGATTGTATAAGTTCAGTATTGTTCTTCCTAAGAAAAATTGTTGTTGTCGTCGTCTTGCATTTCGACAGATCCTATCAAACGTATACCAATTATAGAATGAACAATTGTTTCTTATTTTTATTTAGTACAAAATACATATTATGCTAACATTTTATGATGAATAAGCTTTTGTTCGGGATGTTACATCATCCAATATGATGTTTAAAGAAGGAAGATAATCTTAAATCCACATATCGATTCAACGTAAATTGTGTTCAGTTAATTTACGACGCATTTTTCTTGTTGTATTTCATGTGTTCAGAGTGAATTTTATGCATTGACTTTCAGCTTTAAGTAATTATTTGATTTTTCAGTGTATTTTTCCATGTCATTATAGAATTGTGGAGATTATTAAGTTTTAGATTAAGATCATGAACTGGTTGATGTTAGACCAACGTAGAAAATCTGGAAACACTGGACGACCATTTCGTCTTAGTATAAGACTCCTCAGAAGTGCACACCCACGATCCCACCTCGCGAGGTTCGAACCCAGGACCCACTGGTCTCGTGCGCGAGTGCTTAACCACTAGATCGTGTCGGGTAGAGACAGGTATGTACCTTAGTACAATGGAAGATGGTCGCGCAGTTTCGTGGATCGATATTTTTCCTTGTAATTGACTAATCAATTGAGGTTTTGTGTTCAGCGGTAACTTCTCAATCGATTACCTTAAACGCAAAATGAATTCTTCCGCAGTCTTTATCAAGGAAGCTTCTATCCAATTTGGACTTCTCATTCTAGTTGGTGGATAGAGAAGATTATGTCTCGTCCATTGTATTGAATTTACAAATACTTAGCTTAGTGCACGAATGAATCATATTTCATTGTTAATCGCTTAATCAATGTTCTTTACAGTCTATCTTCTTGTTATTTAATTTCAGACTTTAATATCTTGGGTCTCGGAATCATCTAGTCATTAATAGAAGCGGTAATTATATTTTGTACGGGCGATGCATTTCAAACCCACTGATTTCATCGGTGTACTTATTTTTTTTAACATTTTGATTTTATTTTTATATATTATATTTAAAACAATTCGAATTATTTAATTAGTTTCCTGTTGCTTTTATTAATGGGATTATAGAGAGAATTTTGTAGAATCTAGTGGAAAACTACACCAGAATTATTAGATGCTTTTATGCTTGACTATATTTAATGGTATTTTAATGTATTGAAGTGCATTATTTAACAAAGAGATGGTGTTGAACGTATAGATGCTAACTTAAAACAATTGTTCTTCACTGCACGGTAACATCGTGCCCTGGTACAGTCGGAGGGTGAGGACAGTCCGCTCTCCCTCACATGGCCACGTGCATACAACCATTGGCAAGGAAGTCCTACTCACGGCGGGGGTATTGTTTACGAAATTCAGAGGACGGAAAGCGAATGTCAGGCACTTTAACTAGGTTGGTGAATCTGGGGAATACAACTAGAGGAGTTGGGAAACCCTGATTCCAAATCAGTAGTGCGCATGGGCTTCAGTATCCTGAGGGAACAAATGGCGTATGAGTCAATTATTGGTCACCGGCTACCATGGGACTGGATCTCGTGATGTTTCTTCATTGCCTTGTGGACCAGACCTTTAGGTCGAAGGCTCTGGGTGTGACCCCCTAAGTAAACCACGTGCTTCTGTTTGAGCACCGTGGCAGTATCGCAGCACTAACATAAACTGAATGATTTATGTGGCGCATATCTACTTAGTGCCTCCCTGTACCGATATTTATGTGTTTAAATAATAAATAAAAATTACACTATATTTTCTAAATGACCCTGAAGTCAGTAGTATATGCATATTTGTTGCTGGGGCAACATGCACAAAGTATGTCCGAACCGTTTGACTTAGTGTCCTTGGAGGAGGACAAATTTTTATCTTGATTACGTCAGAGAACTCATGTTAAACTTGAGCATAACTTATGGAGCGATACTTCAGACCATGGTAATTTAACAGTTATCCAGAATCCTCAAGTTGTAATGATCGTGTAACAGAAACGTCTTTGTGTTGTAAAACTAAATTTTTAGTCAGATCATTAAAGCTGAAAATAAGCATAACGCGCTCTAGCTTTCAATATACGTAGATCAATCCCAATCGCTGCCTCACAATTAGCACTTAATAACAAAAATGTAAACAAAGATCTCTTTTAAGTAATTTCCTGACCGTTGTTGCTATATTTACGTAGTGGTCGGGCTTGCCTATCGTGATGAAGCAACCGAGCTATACGAGCTGGAACAACTGTTCCTCAAGGTCCTACCATGTCAGACAGGTCGATTGATGAGCGGTAAGACTAAAAGCAACAAACCCAAGGTCCGAAGGCGAAGTCGTACTGCTGACTGTACAGAGGTGTGACAGCAGTAAGGTGTTTCCTTCAGACAATCAGCATGACAGCGATGCTGCCTTCCCACAAGGAGGGGTGGGGTTAGAAAAGGTCGACCCTCAAAATGCACACCTCGCCTTATCCCACGGATATCTGTCTCCGGTGGTAAGGTCTCAATAAGTACGGAGCTAACACGAAAATTATTCACAAAAAGGTCAGGTGTGACCGACCTTAGGCACTGCGGTCACACTATCAGATCACTAAGGCCATCTCGAATCCATTTTTCCTTTCAAGTACCTCCAGAACAATCCTTCCACGGTGTGAGCGGTCGGGAAGTAAAAACTACCCTCATACCTCTAACAGCACGCAAGACCACTATTTAAGTAATTTTTATTTGGACACTAATAGCTACTTATTCATGTATATTAATTACTAACTGACCAAATGCAAATAGGGTATTGTGTATATTACTGTACACTAAGACCACAAATCTACCCTACCACCACATAATTTGTTCAAAACTACTACCAAATTATCATTAATTGTTGCATTAATGATGACATTGATAAATTCCGTCTTTTTCCACATTCATTGACATAACAATTGTAATCAGAAAGGTTGTTTGCTTCGAAAAATTAACAATCTGTTTTAACGTGAAAATGCTGCAGATTGGAGGTTGGCGAGTTATCGATCGGACCAAAGACGCGCAAACACGGGCGAGGGACCTAGAGTTCTGATTGGTCCTGCTTCCCTGTCTAGCCCAGCCAGTTGAGTCCAGAACGCAAGTCGGAAGTAGATCATAAACATAAATCGTGTATTTCTTGATTTACTTGGTAGTCAGTTTATACCCAATGTTATTATTATAATGACCAGTTGTTAACCTAAAAATTCGAACATATCTTTTGGAACTTAATATCTGGATACACGATAAACACAAAACTGAAATGGAAATTCTAAAATGTTTCCAGTATTTCATAATTTAATGAGAGACTTGATAATCAAATAATTGTAATAACATTTATTTGTTTAAACACATAAATATTGGTACAAGGCGGCACCGAAAACATAAATCATTCGGTTATTGTGATTAGTGGAATACTATCAGAGTGCCCAAACCGAAGCAAGAGGTTTACTTAGGGGCCCACACCCAGAGATTTCGACCTGAACTTCTAATCCACAAGACAGTGGAACGTCTAAAGATTCAGTCCCATGATCAACAATAAGTCAATACGCCGTTTTTTCCCTCAGGATACCGGAGTCCAGATTCACCAACCCGGACACTCGCTTTTCATCCTTTCAATCTCGTAAACAACACCCACGTCACAAGAAAGCTATGAGTAGGACTTCCCTGATAGTGGTCTGTATACGCATGAACATGTGAGAGCATTTCGAGAAGAAGAGCTGATTCTTCCCACCTTTCGCCGTATCAGGGCATTCATATAATATTAATAATAACTTTACTGTATAATATAACGAACAAAGCATCTACATAAAACTTAACTGAGTAAAGATTAATTGATCTAAGACATTAATTTCTCCCATATATTATGATCTTTCATTATAGTGATGTGATTCACAATAGAAAGAGATTATATATAGGAGGATAATTATTTATTTTATAAATTAGATGCAGGTATATTATATTTCAATTTATAATTGTCAAATAACACTAGAAATTGTGCTAATTTTTCATGTATAATATCTGTAAGAAGAAGAGTTAAGAAAGAAAAAAATGACTTGAACACAATAGTTAAATACATATTCTATTGAATAAATTACTTTAACATTGTAGCAAAATCACAATTGACTGATCACTGGGTGGTGATCAATGTCATACTTGTCTAGTCCTTATTAGTGCAGATCGAATGCTATCGATCATGTTGCAATGTGGCCACTAGTCTAGGTGACTCGACACTGTGGGCACTATGTATTGAGATTTAGATGGTGGTTGGAGGTAGTCAACAGGAAACCCTGGACCCGGGTTTTGTGCTACTTGGCACTCGTCAGCAAGGTGTACCTGTAATCTTGAGGGAACTGGTGCTCCCTGGCGGATTCGATCTCGTGTCACGCATTCGATCTGCACTAATAAGGACTAGACAAGCATGACATTGATCACCACCCAGTGATCAGTCAATTGTGATTACATCTCAGTCCTGCAGGAGGTTAGTCACGGCTCGGATAGCTCAGTGGTAACGTCTCTGACTGTGAAGCCGGGTGACACGAGATCGAGTCCGCCAGGGAGCACCAGTTCCCTCAAGATTACAGGTACACCTTGCTGACGAGTGCCAAGTAGCACGAAACCCGGGTCCAGGGTTTCCTGTTGACTACCTCCAACCACCATCTAAATTGTAGCAGGATGTCTCTGTGCAAACAACAGACTAATATTTTAGTTGTTGAGATGATCATTATCATCTCAATTTATTGTACAGGTAACAGAGTAAATAATATTCACATGGTTACGTTGGTTTTTTTTCAAATGCTATAATGATTAAGGATGGTTAGTTTTCAGGAGACTTTAATAAAGGTAGGTATTGGCTAAAAGTAGGATTTAATGTGAGTGTTTTGTCTTGTCTTGAGACTTATCAGCTAGGCGTTGACATAGACAATGAAACACCCTTGACTTCAAATATCATTATTTCTGGCATAGATTGAGTTGTCACACATCAACAATACAGAGAAGCAAAACGATTAAGGTAAATGAGAGCATAATCCAGTGAAACATTTAGCGCTTTAAATAAAGGACAGGAAAGTGGTCTTATATGTGGTATATTCTACGACATTTGTTACATTGTAGGATCTAAACAAAAGATCTACGATTTCCATCGCAGTTGACAACATTATATATACGTCAGGGGACAGCTATGAATCTCAATTATAATTATGAATAAGTGATTTAGGGAGTTGATTTCGCCAGTGTTCGGAAGTATTCCTCGAAAAAAGCCCATAAAACGCCGGGAAAAGTTTTATCCAGTCAACACTGAGAAGTTTTTCAGAAATATGTTGAAGGTGAAGAGTCACAGGTCATATTTGTGATTGGGTGATTGCTTATCCTGTTACTATATTTATTAAGGTTCCAGTACCGTCCTAAAGCCCAAGACCATCTGAGATGCTACAAATACCCTCAATTTTCTGTACGTACTAACTTTGAAGTAGAGCTTTCTTTCCATATTTTGCGCCCTTTCTCTTGTGCTCAAAATGTATAGATTTAGCCTGGGGGTTATTAGAAATGCTTAGGAAAGTGATTCAAGTGTTCAATTAGAAAACTGATCACCTACTGAGTTTGTGTACGACTTCGGTTATGTCAACCTAGTCAGTTTAATTTATAAAACAAACGAAACTATATGCATTTGGATATGAAGTTATTTTGGATCGAAATAGGAAAAAACACTTACTACAAACAAAACAAGATGGTGCAATTCTTGGACTTGATAATAACTGACTAATACGTCGTAAGTCTAAACTAATCGACACTAATTTTTTATTCGGATCTTCGTTATTGTTTATCTGTTTTGAATTATCCAAATCAACATCGTTAGAATCCCAAATTGTACTACGAGCTTCATCAATTGAATCATTAATTTCAGTTGAAAATGATTCTGAATTCATCCAACTACGAGCTTTTAAACCTCGAAATGTTAACTTAACAGAAGCCAACGTTTCAACATTGACAGCAAAATTTAATTCACCTGAACCATTTGCACTGATAATCTTTATAAAAATGAACATAAGAGATATAT